TCCTCGTCAAACCGGGGCCTTTAAAAACTTCGTTTTGGGCGGCGGGGAAAAAAAAAAAAAAAAAAAAAAAGCATGAAAGCGGGGCAGGATGAAGGAGATGCGAGAGGAGAACCGAGAAGAGGAGAGGAGCGACACCCGAGGAGAGATGCAAAACTTCACTTTTTCCATTTGTTTCCAAAGGAGAAGAAATCCTCTCTGTTCAAATTCGGGGGCAGATTGCCACAATTTGTGGATTACGCGTAACGCACAAACGTAACAAAAAAAAAAAAAAAAAACACATTTGCACGACATCTAAAGGTTTTAGCCTTGATTTTTGTATTTTCGTGTAATAATAATAAAAAATGTATACACATTAACAACTGACCGCAAGTAACATTGATTTTGTTATAGCTTTATAGATATTCATATATGACTTAATCACGTCATAGTTTGACATAAAGCAGCTGGGTGTATGAGGGTTTCCCCTGCCATGCTCATCCATTCATTATCATGCGTTATAATATGCGCTTAATTTGTCTACAACATTTCGCCCCAACATCAACACCAGAAGAAGTGCGACTGATGTTTAAGGCAGTGCCGGTCTAAGACTGTCTGGGGCCCTAAAGCTTATTTCACTTGGGCTCCATTTCCACTTTATTTATTACATGAATACCATTAAATAAATTGTGAAGAGCCAATGTAATGCAGACTTGGATCAATCAGGAAAGTGTAACTGACTGTTAGCTAGAAGCTTACATCGTGACTGTTACCATATAAAACTGTTGACGTTTCAGTCAGCATGATTACTTATGTCCTAAATAAATGTAAAACTGGATCATTTTAAGCTCCTTTATTTTTTCTTTTGAAGATGTTTGAGGTCAATAAGTGTTGTCAGAGGTTTGTTTTTGCGTTTTGTTGGCTCAATTAGACCACACAAAGCTGAGCTGGAGAAAAAAAAAATCATTTCAGTCATTCACATTTTGCAGTTCACCAGTAGATTTGGGACGCAACTTATTTTCATGGCCACTAGGGGACTCCATAGGAGACCGGTAAGTTTCCAAACATCTGTGATTGTCACAAAAATAAAGAAAATCACTTTAACATGACAAGCTATCGCAAGTCCACGGTGACACAAAGTTAAATATATATCACAATACAGAGAAAGGTTGTCACAGTAGTTCTCATGAGGTCGCCTCATGAGAACTACTGTGCTTTTACACTCAATTTTGTCAATTTTAGTCACAAACTATCTCAGATAACGGAAGTTTAATTGAAATTGGTTATATTAAACATTAATAGTAAGCTGTTCTTATTTCCAAATAATAAATATATAAGCCAACCAACAAAAATAAATAAATAAATGATTAATTCTTCCACCAAAGCCCCTTAAATTTATTAAGGTCATTTGATAGTTGGAGAACTTCCAAGGAATCCTTTCCTCGGGGTTTTTTACTTTCTCATTATAAAACAAAAAGTTGGCTCAGAAACCAGCAGGACATTTAGGCCACCCCAAAATTGAAAGCTCTGATGCAGAATAATCATTAAATGCTCATTAAACAAAAAACATTTAGTTATGAATAATGCATTGGCCCGTTGGCAAGCCCAGACCCTGAAAGGCTCACACAATGGCAGCCAACTTCATTGCATTTTCTTTGGCCACACTCTGCCAA